TTTGTTTCATCTACAATTATTTAAAATTTCTTCCTTTTATATTATTTTGTTAAAAATCAACAACAAAAATGACGAGCATGTTTGTTACTCACCATTACTCCAAGAAAGATTTCTTGGATCAGCTGATAGTCTTTGCTTTACTTTAGGTCCAGCCAATCCCATTTTTGTCTAATAAAATTCTTTTTTTTATGGTGTCACAAAGATGTAATGTCGCTTAAAAATTATTCTTGGTAAAATGGCTTAAACTATCATTAAATAATTTTCGATATTAATTAAGCTTTTAAAAATTTCTGAATACAATGGAAAATATCAATGTTTCAAAAATTGATCAAAATAACAACAACAACAATGCTATTGAAACAGCAGAAGTTACAGAAGCTATCGTATTTATAGCAGATGATCACATAACAACTCCATCTTCGTCATTACCTGGAAATCTTGATAATCCTTTACTTCCACCAAACAATGCCAACTTAACATCAGAAATAATTGATGGACGAAGACTTAAATGTATAGATGTTACCAATGACAATATCTTGGTAGCATTAAAATATCGAGATCAGGAAATTCATGAATTAGTAAAACTTCATCAAGATTATTTTGATTCGGTAAGAAATTTTATTGATTCAAAAGAAGAATGGCAGAGATTTCAAGAAATACTTTATTCCAAGAGAGAAGACATAAATGACATTGAATGGATAAATATGATTGAAGAATTTTTTAAAAATAATTTATTGTTGTTTATAAAATTCAAAGAATTAGTTGGATATGATGATTATTTTGAAGACGATGGTGATTCAGTTGAAGACGATGGTGATTCAGTTGAAGATAATATTTTTGGGCAGGAATTATTAGTAAAGGGGAAAAATATGGAAAAATAATAATTTGTAACCCTTTCTTTTTTTCATGAAATAATATTTGTATGACAATAGAAGAAAAATTACAACTTCTATATTTTACATAATCTTTTTTTTACTCTCTTGATTATTATTATTATTTAATTTTGTGAAGAAAAAAAACTATATTTTAACTTTTGATAGCCAAGATTACGTATTTTAGTATATTATATAGGATAAAATAATCAAATTAAATAGAAATAAAGCTTTAGACGTCAAGCCCTCCTTTTTTATTATTATCATGTGGTTATTTTTTTTTTTGCACCATAGTTAACAGCCAACCAAAATAATAAATTAATTGTTACAAATAAAGCCATAAATAGTTATAAAGTTATAATAAGGGTTGTACGATATTATTTTAATTTCTTTTTAACCACAATTTCTTTTCTTTTTTTTTTTTAAATAAAGAACTTATTAAAAAACCTTAAAACTAACTTTAATTATTAAAACTAATGGATCTACAAAATAATATTCCACCTATTTCAAAGGTGGAATTACAGCAATCACTTCCTTCCGAGGAAATTAATACAACCGAACAGGTTTTTAATTTTTAATTATATTTAAAAAATAATTAAACGCATTTCTACAGTTATTTTAATATATAAATACGTATCCTTTACACTTTAATGTAGACTTCAAATGAATACGACTCCTTAAAATCACAATTAGAACAAATATTTTCTGATTTTGACAAAGAAGGTCGCGGTAGAATTATTTCAAGAGATTTACTTTCTATGATTGAACTTTTCGAAAAAAATCAAACTACTTGTTTACTAAAAGATGATGCTCGAAAAATATTTCAAATGTTTTGTGAGCAAAACCCAAATATGGAGGTGTCTGTTGATGACGTACTTCAACTTATAGCTAAACTATCAGCTCCAAGTAATTGTGAAACGGCATCATTGTCTAATGAACAAGTAACGACAAGAAGACCAATCACAAAATTCGGGTCGGTACGCACTGGCTGGAGTAATAGAACTTTCTCTCCACCCGCTAGAAGTCGAGATGCACCAATGTTGATTGCACCTGATACTGATGTGTGTAATAGTATTAGGAGAATAATTATTATTTAGCCTATCCCCTAATATTTTAAATGATTTATTAATTTTATGATTTGATTTGATTTTTTTTTTTAAAGAACGATGAATCATTTCTTCCAAGTATGATTCCATCTTCACATTCTAGAAGATTATCTTCGCCAGGTTATTATGATTCATCAGGATCTATTTCATTTCATAGAACTTATCATGATATTTCCGATGATTTTTCAGAAACTTCATTTGAAGCTAGTGGCGGAATTGACCAGTCGATTAGTCATTTGTCACAAGTAGGATAATTCTTAATTTTTTTTAATATAAAATATACCATTAATAATAATAATAATAACAACAACAACAATAATAATGATATAACATATATAATCGTTTATTAAGACAATTGATGACCCTGCTCTGCAACTTAGTAAACTTTATCGTCATACGGTTGACCTCACCAAACGTCTTAAAGATTCTGAACGACACTTAGCTTCTGTTGCTCGTCAACATGAAGATCGTATTGAAGAACTACAACATAAATTAGATGAAACAAAAGCAGACCTTCAAGCTAAAAAACGAGAAATTCAAGATCATAAGAGCAAAGAAAAAATTAGTTCGCATCAAATTTTCGCTGTAAATATATTTTTACAAATCTTAATAATTGTATTTATATTTAATCATCATCATATTATTTTTATTAATTCGAATAATTTATTTATATTTCGTAGTTGGAAGGAGAAATACAAAAAATTCAAAAGAATTTATCAGATCAAAAAAATTTATATTCTCACCTTAAAAAACAATATGAAGATAAATATGGTATGTTTTATCAAACGTTAACTCAAATTTTTTTAAAAAAGAAGAACCACTAAAGCATAAAATGTGATAGTAATTTTTATATTTTATGAATATAGAGGAAGCCGAAAAACTTAGTAATATTATAAAGTTGAAGGAAGAAGAATTGGCCAGAACGGAACGAAATCTTACTTTCTTTGCTGCAGAAGAAAGAAAAGTATGTAATTGATAATTTTAATAATTTTTCTTATAATTTCTAATATATTATATTAAAAAATTATATTTATTATATGACAAAAGTGGAATGGTGAACGTGAACGTTTAGAAACTGCAATAAGCAAACTTGAACAAGATGTTGCATCATCTCAACATTCTGAGTTAGAACTTGAACAACAAAGGATGGAAAATTTGCATCTTAAAGAAACTATTGATAAATTAAAATTGGATCTAGATGAAATACGGAGCGGACGAATAAATAATAATATTAATAGAGGATATCCTTCATTTATTTACGAAATAAATTTTTATATATATGATATTTTTTATATTTTTATTTAATTAAGATTTAATCCTTGACTAAAGCTTACTGAAACGTTAGATCTAAGTGATATTGGATCATCCAAGGTATTTTATATCATAACTAGATAACTATATACATGCACATATATATACACGTAATTGATTATTAATTTAATTAATAAATAGGATTTACGTACTGAAATGGTTGATCATGTACTTGCATCTATTGAAGTCGTTTCAGATTCTAACACGGAGGATATAAGAAACGATAAAAAAAACAAGGTAAAATTACATACATTATGTAATAGCTTACTTAATAAATAAATATTAAGTGAATATTAATTATATAATGCCATTTTTTCTTTATAGCCACGACGCCGTAAAGATGATACCTCAGATATTAATACAATTGATGAGCATGCTCAATCAAGATCTAATAATGACTTAGATAGGCATCGCGTGACTGATATCGAACAATCTGGTCGTAAACAAAGTAGTTCACGATCATCCCGCCGTTTTGTAGATCAAAGTGTAGTTGCACGTAATAATCCACTTGTTGAAACTCAATTTCAAACTTTGTCTTCAGAATTAGGTGTTCAATATGCTTTAATTGAAGGAATATTAAGAAATCGTGCATCAAATGGTAATACACATGGAAATCCACACGGAAATTTGCATGATAAAAGAGACAGAGCAATCAGAAATAATGCCGAAGGTGATAATAATGAACTTGCAAGGCATAGAGGTACAAGAAACTCTGTGCGAAGAAACAAAAGAAGAGGTTAGTGTTTGTCATTATGATAATAAATTTAACCGATTTTTTAAATCTATTGTTAATATATATATCATTATTATATTAGTAAATCCAAGTCAAGAAATAGAGGTATTTTCTTTATTTTAAATATCCGATATATATTTTTTCTCTATAAATTAAATTTATCGTTTTTTATTAATATAGGCACAAGCTTTAGAAAAAATTGATTCCCAATCATCAAAAGCACTTGTTCCACGTAATGCAAATAATTCGGTTCATAATATTGCAATAGTTCATAATACTGCAACTTTTGCTTTATACACAGTAGTCATTTACCTCTTTGGAATCATAACATCGGTCTTTGTCATTGATAATAATCAAGGAGCAGCTCCATATAGTGATTGGATGCCTTATGATGACTTGAGAGAAGATGGTTGGGCATCACGTCTTGGGCAAATGATCCTCTATTGGGCAGAAATATTATTGAATGATGGAAACATGAGAGTACCTACCTAAATTAGATATATTACTATGTGGACTTTATATATTTTGTATATTAATTATGCAATTATCCTTTTTATTTTTATTATAGTAGAATTATTTTAATTATTTCTCTGATTCAGTAGCCTTTTTTTTAATTTTTCATTTGCACTGACTTTTATTATTACATATATTTTCTTTGTATCATAATTGTTAAGAAACTATTTCATTTTCTCTTTTATTTTTTTAAAAAATCTAACAATTATTTTTTTTTTAATTTCACTTACATCGCATTCATTTAATTTTTTCCATACTTAGTATTTTGTTATTATTATTATTACTATCATTATTATTATCGTTATAAATCTGACTTGAATTTTTATTTCTTTAGAGTTGAAGTTTATT